ACCTGAGAATTTGCAGTAAATGTGAACCTAGACTGAAACAGTACATCGTGAAAGCAAAGGGATATAGAATAGACTGGCTGCGTTCTGTCGAAGATCAGGCTTTTTGTTGGCTTTTGCGCAATGTCGTGGCGTCATTTGTGTTGGCTGAACTGTGTGGCGGTGACATCACGACGAACAAGTGGGGGCTATGCGACAGAGCGCTGATATGTTTCACGTCGCAGTGGAATCAGGCGCTCGTCAATGTTTGTGCATATGAAGTCAACGGTATCATCTGAAATCCAATTCATTTTCCTTTCTTCCGGCAAAAAATACCCATTTGTCTTGAATAGAAGTCGAGCTATTTGCAAGTAAAGCAGGTGGAGGTCTTGTGATTTCAAAGGTAAAATTAGCGAGGAAGTGGCCGCTTGAGAGTCCTTGGAAACAGCAAATGTACATACTTTTTTGGGGGTAGCCCCTGCACCGGGTGATTCACATTAAGCAACGTTTTTCAGCAACATCCTCGAAGGAATGTGTTGTTAAATGGACAATAAAGGACGTGTTGAAACCAAAACAAAATATCAATGAAAATTGCCAAAGGAGCGGGAAAATGTCTGTTTCTTCTTCCATTATTTTTACGAGCGTCTGATTTCAACACGATGCCTCACATATGAGCAAAACGATGAAGCACTGGGGACACGCCCAGATTGGCGATGGGTGAACTCGTGAAGTACAGACAAATCGAGAGGAAAAACAGAGCAGGGGAGGGAGAGGAGGCCAATTTGAGCTTTACAAAAAAAAAACATCCCAGTAGAAAGACCGAGATACTCAATAAAAATTCTCTCCATATGAACCAAACTGGGGTCTTCTGATTGTAACAGCGAAGCATCTAACCGCTACGCTGCAGAGGCCGGTACACAATATGCGCTTGTGTGCACAAACGTATTTGTATGTGTGTGTGCGTGCCAGTGTGTGATCATCTTTTATACTTCGATTTGTTGCATGGAAGGTGAAAAAGAGGGTGGGGGTGGCGCCGTCATCCCGTCATCCCGTCATCTCGTCATCCCGTCATCCTATCATCCCGTCATCCCGTCATCCCGTCATCTCGTCATCCCGTCATCCTATCATCCCGTCATCCCGTCATCCCGTCATCCCGTCATCCCGTCATCCCGTCATCCCGTCATCCCGTCATCCCGTCATCTCGTCATCCCGTCATCCTATCATCCCGTCATCCCGTCATCCCGTCATCCCGTCATCTCGTCATCTCGTCATCCCGTCATCCCATTATAGTTGTTCTGTTCCTATGTCTGGATGAAAATAGTCTCTGTGTGTGTTTGTGTCTGTGTGTATGTGCGTGCGTGTGTGTGTGTGTGTGTGTGTGTGTGTGTGTGTGTGTGTGTGTGTGTGTGTGTGTGTGTGTGTATGTGTGTGTGTGTGCATTAATGTATATATTGCATGAGAAGAAAGGAAGTAGTAAGAAAGGTTTTTGAAAAATGGGTATTCCAATGTAAAGCTCATTGAGCTACTTTTTTTGGAAATGCGCTATATAAATGTTATATATTATTATTATTATTATTATTATTATTATTATTATTATTGTTATTATTATTGATTATTGTTATTATTATTAGTATTATTTATTATTATTATTATTATTATTATTATTATTATTATTATTATTATTATAATTATTATTATAATTGCGAAACACGGAGGGTAACTAACGGAAAAAAATGGTGTCAAGATAGCTGTCCAATTTTTTGGAACGCAACAATCTAATAGCCCTAATAGCCTACCTGTGGAACTTGGCAGCTACTGCCCTGGTAAAGACACCTGGAGGAATGCGGCAATTTTGGCCTCCGACATATACGACGGTTTTGAGGAGGGAAAAGAGACACTAGTCGCCGCAATAGATATAGAAGATGCATATAATCGGATGCCCTTTAGCCTTATCATGCGAAATATGATCAATATGAAAATCGACTCTGAATTGTTGATCTGGGTAAGAAATGTCTTGTTAAAAAGAAAGGTTTCCTTGCGCCTCGACGGCTGGGCTCCCTAACCCATTACCATAACCCCAGGACTGCTGCAGGGATGGGCCCTGTCACCAGTCTTGTTCAATATATAGCCTACATCATCGGTCTTACAGTTACAGCCAATCAATGGGAGGGACCTGGCCGTACGCTAAGCTCTGCAGATGATGTATTGGTTTATCGGCAGGGGAGAAATCGAGAGCTGATTGCAAGGAGCATGCAGGAAAATTGGATCGAATTGGTGAATGGTGCGAACAGAGCATTAGAAAACTTAATCCAGCGAAGGCAGGGGTACAGTGGACCAGTCTCACCAACAGGGCAGTTAAGGCTACCATGCCTACTGTTAATATACAGGGTGCGCAGTTGGAAAGGCAAGAGAAATTGAAATACCTGGGCATAACCTTTGATCGCACTCTCTCACCAAAAGACCATGTGACTAAATTATCACCAGAGCAAGGAAAGGACTAGTTGCATTGAGAGTGATGGTTGCATCTATGCCCCGACACGCCCTTATGATCATGCTTCAAGCGGTTGTACTGTCTGTAGTGGACTATGGCCTTAATATGCGCACCCTATCCAAAACCCAGCTACAACGCCTCGAAGTCATTCAAAATGAAGGAATGAGAACTGTTCTGGGATGCACCCGTGACACAACAGCATCAGCGATAAGATATCTGCTGGACCTGCCAACCTTAACCCATCGACACAAGCTAGCACAAGTCAAGGCCTACCTACGAGTAACAGAAGACGAACATCACCCACATCATCCGAAAATAGGAAACCAAGCACGTCAAAGATTAAAAAGAGGATCTTCATAGATGGTGCAGGCAGAGCGAACTCTCGATATGTGTTGTGAAATCGAGGTCATAAGAAAAGGATGTGACTGGATGAGGCAGGAGAAAGACATGAGCAAGGTCGAGAGTGTCGCGAGTGGCCAGCAAATGCAACTAATGCGGAAATTGTGACCATCCTTGAGGAAAATTATGTGATGGGTGATGTTGTCGTCTTCACGGATGGATCAGTGAGGCGTGGCCAGAAATCTGGGCGGGCGTTCAGTGCTCGAGTTGACGGGAGGATAATTGAAGAACAGTCTGGAGCCTACGAGTGCACTACACCGAGCATGGCAATGGAGGTTAAGGCAATAACAGAGGCGCTGGAATGGATCAGTATGGAAGCGTATAAACATGACCTGATCGTCACAGATTCGATGAGCACCCTAGACAAAATCATGAGTGAATGGCTCTACAGTGACGGGAGAACGTCCATTGCATGGGTGTTCTGCCCTGGTAACGCAGGGGTGCACGGAAATGAACATGCTGGTGACCTTGTCGGCAAAGCAGCACCCGATAACCGAATTATGCTCGACCCACCAATGGTGATTGCCAGATGCAAGGAGAGCCTTCATGGCCAAAAAGAGACAGACTCCCACACACTCAGCACAAAAAAAGAAAAGTGTGTGCGGGACACAGGGAAAAGAAGTTTGCTCCTAGGAGTTGTCAAGAGTGTCTTAAAACAGCTCCTCAAGGAGACAAGTAGCAGGAAGACCCTGGGGTGGACGCTGCAAAGGAGAGATGAGCAGCTATGGACATGTGCCGCCTGCTATGTTTCTAGCTCTGGACCCAAGTAAATCCAAGTAAATCCTATCTATCTATCTATCTATCTATCTATCTATCTATCTATCTATCTATCTATCTATCTATCTATCTATCTATCTATCTATCTATCTGTCTGTCTGTCTGTCTGTCTGTCTGTCTGTCTGTCTGTCTGTCTGTCTGTCTGTCTGTCTGTCTAATTTATATACCGGTATCTATTTATATTCCCTTTTCTCTCGACCCCCCCCTCTCTCTCTCTCTCTCTCTCTCTCTCTCTCTCTCTCTCTCCCTCTCTCTCTCTCTCTCTCTCTCTCTCTCTCTCTCTCTCTCTCTCTCTCTCTCACACACACACACACACACACAGACACACACACACAAACGCGCGCGCGCGCGCAAATACACTCACATGCACAAGTACACACACAACTACCAGTTCGTACACATTCTCACATACACAATTTACTGACAGGGGATAGTTGTTGCATTTCTAGAACGTTTCTGTATGAGCATAAAATCAATTTGTTTTCATATGCCATCTCCAGGGCTCTTTCAAGTGTACTGTCTTCTTGATTGATTCGCAGGTTAGAAACCATGAAATTAATTATTTCATATTATTATTCTAAACACCTTTCTTCGAAACGCTCGCCGCTTTCATTTCTTTCTTTTCCAATCTCACGTGGCCCAACTGTGTGAGTCTCCTACCTCTGCATTTAATTCCCCAATGACTAATTTATTTGCTATTCTGATTTCAGTTGTTTTATTGCCTTATCCTGGTCATTTATATATATATATCTGCTATCATTATTGTGAAATATTGTTATAGATTGACTGTGTTGAGTTGAATTACGCCGTCACTCTCTGTAGTTTTGTTTTTCATTACCAATCTCATAGACTAATTATTGTAGCCTGCCAAAAACTTTTTAAACAATGATATTAGACAAGAGCAAGCGCTATATAATAATATACAAAAACGTAGGTAGTTCGGTTCTTTGAAGCATTGTAGGCCTCTAGGCCTATAATTTAAAGGGTAATTCTTTAAATTAAAATACATGTATTGGATTTCTAGGTAGTGAGATAAGACTGCTTAAATATTCTTCCCAATCTAATGCAATCTATTAACTCGAAATATCTATGATAGACACCCTTCAGGAACAATGCATAATATAAATTAAAAACCAAGGATCTTTGCTCAATGTTAAAATTTTAATAAATAACTAAATAATAATAACAGAGACCTAGCAACGTAAGTTTACATTGCCAGGTCTCTGATAATAATATTATTCTTTTCAGATTTTGGTTTATCCGCACGAAAAGCCGGCAAAGTGGCGGGCAAACAAATTCACTTTCGTTTATCATCGGAGAAATGATTTGCAGGGGAGATAACTTAGTTTGGACTTCCTGTTATCAAAGCGATTTGAGTTCGTTTTGTACATTAGTTTGATAGCTAATGTGTGTGTGTGTGTACCGTAGTTCAAACCTTCTCAGCCTTAGATCTAGATCTAGTTGTGTGTCGATTTATATTTCTATTTGAGATCTATGACCCCTAACAGCTGAACCTAACAGTATGCCTAGAGAAAGCAGGTAAGGGTGCGGACATCTAGAGAATCTATGTGGCCACCTCTTCAATTCTGTGAGAATAGAGCGCAGGCGAGCCTTTGGCTTTCTCACCCGGCCGGTGTGCGTTCACCGTGATAGATTTCTAGCTTAGTTCTAGATTCTAGGCCTACCAGTGTAGCGTTCACTGTGAACCACAGAATTCTACACGGCACTCCTAAGGAAGTGGCTATTCTCACCCGGGGTGAGAATAGAAATACGATTGACCTCTCACCCCGGGTGAGACTTTGACTTGCCACCGTAGGTTTCGTAGGCTATTCTCACCCGGTGTGAAACAAGACCTGTTTTTCCTAATTTCGGAATACTTTCTATCGATGTGGATGATCAAATGGATAAAGGCAAAGAAAAGATTACGTTATGGTCGTTGTTATTCGGACTCGGGTCCGGAAAAAAGGAAGTGTTTTCGTTCTATAGATCTAACGTTCAGTGCTTCCAGTTTTCCGCCATTTTTTAGTTTCCCCCACACCTTATCTGCCGATCCAATGCCCGCCGCCTCATTGATACGCCCCCCCCCCCCCCCACGTTTCCCACTTTCTTTGTTGTAGAAAAAGGTAAAATTGAAGATTAGCAGACCACCTGGCACCTGCATATTATGAGCTGTGTAAAAAAAAAATAAGACCGATTCGTTCAAATACACAAGCCTGTGTCATATCGATTGTTTACAAAGAAAAAGTTGTGTTGCTGTGTAGAGCTGAGCATACGGCAACTTTTGATTCCATAGAACAGCGCACAATTCATTACGTAGAACTACGTCAAGACTAGCTTTTATTATTGTAATAATGATCAGTTGCCGGGGGGGGGGGGGGGGAAGACTGACGCGTATGCGACGTTCAAAGCCCGGACCAATAGTGCCCCCCCAACCACTCTCCCCGACACGCACACAGCCACACGTGTGCAGGCCTCCCATCCGACCCCGACACACGCTAACGAGCCATCTTTAATTGCTTCTGATGACCTCTTGACAAATAAACATTTATTAGAAGCGCCTATAACTTTTCAGGCCGGCCTCAAATTCATCATAAACTCGGCTCCTGCACAAAACGCCTTTTTGCCCGAAGTGATCCCGGTCTCTACCCAGCCTAGGCGAGTCACGAGTGAGGCAGGACAGGAAGCCGGATTCACGAGTCACAGGAAGTCGGAAGTGATGTCATGCTGGACAAGAATCAGAGTCCGAATAACATTTTTTCATATTCGGACTCGAGTCCGAATAATCACTTCGTTACGTTATAATAGCACAAAAGTAAGCTAATTTTATCGACTACTCTAGATCTATATGGCTATTTCACTTTTCGAATCGAGCCGAACAACGGGGGTCGCCATTTTGTTTTGCCCGGAAGTTCTCGCAAGATCTAGTCCTCCTCTCTTCTCTCTCTCTGTCTCTTTCTGAATACTAGATCTAGATTTAGATATATAATGCGCAACCAAACAGATCGACACAAAGCGCTGCGCGATCCGCTGATTAACAGAATGCGCAACGGAAGTGGCTATTCTCACTGAATTTTATCATTGATAGAGATGGGTTTTTTTGGGGATCATTCTTGACGCGCAGCGGCCTGATTTTTTCCCTCGAAATGGGGTCTTGAAAAAGATTTGGGGGTCTTGAAAAAATTTTCCAGGATTTGGTGGGGACCCTGGATTTGTCAAAATAACATTATATAATTAAACACTAGGCCTCTACAGCATGCCTAAAGGCTTGTTATCGGTCCCAATTATGTGTGACGAAATGACTTCGCATAATCTCTTCAAAATTGTGATAATATGCTAGTTGAGTTTTGGAGTATCAGCCTAAATCTTTTTTTTGAAGTCATAAAATAATTTTATTAATGTAAATTAAGGCCAGCCCTATTTGGACTCGAGTCCGATTAGATTTTTAAAATTTTAAAATCTATTTGGACTCGAGTCCGATATGGGTTTTATCTATCCAGACTGGGGTCAGAAAAGAATGTTTTATTTATTCGGACTCTGCTTCTAAGTGAGTGATGTGTGTGTAAGGAGGTTACATATACTGTTGTCGGTGGATTTCAGTGTGTAATTGAATTATTATTATGTCAAAAGTCAAATGACTGCTCTCTCATTGCCCAATGCCAGTGTCTACATACATGATGATAACCGACAACTCAGGGTCTTTCCACGACCACTAGCCTACAACATCGTCCTTTCTTTCACCACCATTTGTCTTTCCTCATTTTTAATTTCATTTTGTTGTGTGTTATAGTTTTTATGCAATAATTTTTTTGTTAATCACATGGCACAAAATCGACAGCTGTGGCCTCTTCCCTCAGCAAACCGAGAGTGCGAGATCGCTACACGCAATCTCATTGGTGGACATACTTAACTTTGCCCCCTGCAAGGTCAACTATACTTGGTTGTGCTGTTCATACTAATGATGCAGGCAGGGCCTGTTGAGATAGATCTAGTTACTTGATATTAAAGCTCATGTCTCAACTGCTGTCATTATAATTTTTTAAAATGTCATAAATGTTGGAAATATTTATAGGAACAAGGGTCGGAAGTCGGAACGGACGTCATGCTGGACTCAATTCAGAGTCTGAATATCATTTTTTTGTCTAATCGGACTCAAGTCCGAATAGACACTTTTTAATAGTTACCTTCGTGCAATGCACATGCTGGTTTTTATGTAAGGGGTTTTAAAAATATGCTTTCAGGTCGTACAGAAAACGATCTACCTCTAGAGAGAGGGAAAGAGATCGTGACCGTGATCGTGATCGTGATCGTGATCGCAAGAGAAGAAGTCGTTCACGAAGCAAGTCCAGAAGATCTCGATCAAGAGAGAGAAACCGCAGATCTCGTTCCAGGGAAAAGAAGAGGAGCCGTTCTCGCGAAAGAGAAAGAGAGAAGAAAGAGAAACGCAAAAGATCTGTTTCAAAGGAAAGAAGGTAGACTGAACACAGATTCTATTCCACAATCTTTGTGTTTTGCATTCCCCACTCCACTTGCCAGATTCTCTGTAGTTTATACATTTTTATATGAGAGTATTCTTATTCAATGTTGATCTGTTTAGCCTCTAAAGTGAATGTCACTTTGACTATGGGTCTGCAAAAAGGACATTTGAGAAGCCACCCATTTATCTTGATCCACACTATCTTATCGCATGTTTTGTTTACCACCAAGAGATATTGAGGGAAGAAAGAGGTGTTAGTCAATTGCTAGTCAACACTTGAGTCTAGGTGCCTCATCCTCCCCACCCCATATGTGGGCCCTCTTTTTGTGGAGAATTATGAGAAATTCTCCCATTCCTGGTCATCAAGGTGTTAAAAAGTCTGAGTTTGGTTTCATCCTTATTTGCTCTTGGGAATGCATCCCTGCTTTTTGCTACATGATGGGGTCCATAGAGCCCTTTGGATGAAACTGAAATCTTCAAATAGAGGTTGACAATAACAGGCTATAATTCACTTTAATAAACACATTGCCAGTCTGATTGTTAGACCCTGGTGTGACCATATTATGAGATTCACCCAGTTTGCTTTGAATATGAGCGCTCCTGTTTATCTTACCTGTCTCATGAGTGTGATGAAGTGATGATTTTTTTTGTTACTGTTAAGAAGGTTCTGCTGAAATAATTATATATAGTTTTTGTGTAACTTTACAGAGGTGTGTTTTAGGCCTATAGTCTTGAAGTTTTGTAACCTTTGTTTGTACACCATTTTATTGTTTTGTTCTTTTACTGTATTTCAGTCACAGTAGTAGTGTCAAGCGAAAGTCCAAGAGTAAGTCAAAGTCTCCGTCTCCTGTGAAGGTTGTGAAGAAAGAGCCCCCTGCTCCAATCCCTGAGAAAAAGAAAGCCAGTTCTCCTGTTGTAGAAACAAAAGCGAAAGATGAACCAGTGGATAAGGTAATTTAGTATTGTGGCATGTCTCTCTCTCTCTCTCTCTTCTGACGCTATGGCTTCATAAACGGTCAGCGATGCCGACAGCACGCAGGAACTCAACGCTTGCCCCCAGGGTCCTTAAAAAGTGCTGAAAGTGGGTTACTGAAATGTACCAGCAGACGATTGTGGCATGTAAAGAAAAGTATGTATCCGTGTTCTTATAATAAAGGTGCAAGTCAGAATTTGTCTGCCAGATACTTGTAGAAGCCAGTAGCAGTTAAATTATATCTTACATTTACAATTACAAAAATGTTAAGAAGAAATTATGATTTTTGTAAAAATCGGTCAGCTTTCTCTTTTGCCAAATAAGACAGCTGAAGTTTGCTCAAATCTTGAAAAGTAAGAAATGTATGTGCTTTTTCCAAAGTTGAGGTAATTTTTAAGGTGTAAGCTGTAAGTGCAGTTTACTTCAGCCTTTGTATTTTTCTTTTAATTTGCTGATCTCAGGAGGAGGAACAAAAGCGCTTGGAAGTGGAAATGCAGAAACGCCGTGAACGCATTGAACAGTGGCGTGCTGAGAGGAAAAAGACGCAAGAGTTGTTGCCGGTCAACATTGCTCCAACCACCAAAAAATGGACTCTAGAAGATGACGACGATGAGGAGGAAGATGGTGGCGGGGACGGGAAAGAGGAGGATGATGAAGTGGATCCTCTTGATGCGTACATGCAGGTGAACATTAAAAAAATTTTGAGTCCATGCGATAGGTGTTCGTTCTGGCTTTGAGATGTTGAATGAGAGTTCATATGGTGATGTAGACTTCCTGACACCATCCAGCACTGAATGTTCAAACAGTGTGAAAGGAGTTTTAGTTGTCTAAAAAGGAAAGTGATTGTTTTGGTTCTCCTTTTTGCAGAATTTATGCTTTCTTGTTTGACGTACACAATTTGTACAGTTGGTTGTTTTTTTATGTCTTATATGACACTGATATCAGAGAGTCCTCTTTCCAAAATGAGAATGTGTTCTTCCTAGCGCCTTTTGGGTTGAACCCTTGGGAAATAACTTGGATTTGAAAAGAAAAATGTGTTCCTACTGGTGGGACATTTATTATTAAAGTTACACCATTTGCCTCTTTACTTTTTGTGAATAAGCCTTGTAGAAAACTTATTGCTGGAATGATGGGCTAGTATGGTACACATGCACGTTATGTCCCAAATTATTTGAGTGGCAAATTGACAAAGTCTGGGGACAATCTATTTGATCAATTTTGTGTGTAGAAAATTTTTACTCTTTGCTTTATACAGAATCCACCAGCTTGTACTTTACAAGGAATATTAGGCAGAAGGCAGTGCTGAAAGAATGTTTGTGTCTGTGATTAAGTGTCTGTTTGTATTGCGTTTTTATAAATGGGCCATTCCAGAAAATTTGAAACCAAGGGGTCAAAAAATGAAATTCATCTGTGGCCTTTGAAACTACCATTTATCCATAGCCTAACACCTCAGGGGTAACTAACTTTTTGAATTTTTGTTTTATCTCCACCCGAAGTGAAGATATCGCATGGTATTCATACTCACCCTATAACTTATTTGATCAAGTTTTCGTACAAGAAATTTGCCTTCCTTTCAGGTAGAGTTTTGTTATAAAAATCACCACCAGAACTGATGTTTCTTTTGTTTGTAAGTCTAACAAGATCAACAGCAAGAAAACTGTGAAAGTATTTTAAGATCTTAGCATTCAACCTGATGTTATACCATTGTGTGTAACCCCTTCACCCCTCAAAAGTTCGTGTGACGTCTGTCACAATTTTACTGTTTTAATTAAGATTACTTAAAAACTACTCAGGCCATTTCTGTTTCCTTTTGTTTTCTCTGTTTTCACATTGAAACACATACTTTGATGCAAAAATGTTGACTTTAAACATTGAGATGTGATATATACAGCGTAACGGACGTCACATGTGAAATCCATCAATTTTAGCTGTACCCTGATCTTTGTGTTTTGAGTCAAAATCATACAAGGAAATGAGTCCTACTTTTTATAAATTTTAATTCTATGTTAAATATTATAATTTTAAGAGTGATTTTCCTTTTATTTTTAATGCGAGCACATGGCTCATAGGCAGACATATTGCAATAAATCTAAATCATCTAATTTTAACCGCAAATTTTCCTTTGACAGCTCAATAGACTTTAATGTTACATTGGTGGTATTGCAGGTAGATCTAATGGAAAATATAAACCTATCAACCTGTCTAAATTAAAACAGCCTACAATAGCTTAATTTATTTTTACTTATTATCATTGGGTTTTTTTTTTAAATCGGAGACCGGTGTTCCCAAAGCCGTACCCCCCTTCAAGCAAGATTGAAAGAAGCGACTGTGCAGAATATAGCTATAGGATAAAATTAATTGAGAAAATATACAGATCTAGATAGTGTCAATAGTATCATGTAGTGCCAGCTTGCACTTACAGTGTGCCTTTCTTGGTTGCACAGTCTTAGATTCCACCACTGCAAAAACAAAACACTTGGGAAGAAAATGAAGGGGAGGTAGCAGCTTTTTTTATTTTGGCTCGACAAAGTCTTGACTCTTTTAATTCTAAGAAAGGCAGTCATCTGCCAAATCATTTAAAGACTTCTTTATGTGGAAATGGAAAAGACTAACAACAAACTCAATTTACCTAAACAATTCAGTTTGGCAGCATAACATGTAGATCTATATTTAGACGGGCATGTCGGCATGCAAAATCTTTATTTGCTTTTTTCTCGGAATGACTTTTCTGACAAATCTGCTACACTATTTTGATTAGATCTCAGAAAGTTACTGTGCAGTCAGAGTTGGTAGACATTTTCACACAAGCTCTTGAATGTATACCTGCTACCTTAAAGAGATATGTTAGCTTCTTCTCCCATTTAAGAACAGAAACTGAAACACAAATGAGAGTTTACATTCTTGGGGCGGAGATTCAATTGTGAGAGGACAGTTGGAGGGTGGGGGGGGGTATGGAATTGATGTAAAACCTTGTCAAAAAAGCTTTTTAAATAGCCTGTGCTGTAACGTATGATGTAAATGTGGTGTTTGTTGCTGAAAAATGTTGGTTTTTAGTGAAAACTGAGATGGTTGTGATTGCACAATCACAATGTTTCGAAAACTTTGTGTTTTTCTCGAAATTGCAACTCTACAGAAAGCGTATCTCAATAATTAACTGTCATATTTCGTTGAAATTTCCACACATTATTCCCAAGATATGTGCCTTCCTCTTTACAAAAGCACTTTTCCTGAATATTGTTTCTGTTTTAAGTTATTTGGCATTTAGGCGTGGCAGCATTACCTAATATGGAATTCTGAACATTGGTCAAAGTGAGGGTGAAATTTTGAACATGCATGATAGATATTTGAAATCTGAATCTTCAAGGAGGAGAAGCAAGCAAAAAATAACAAATATACCAAGTGTGAAGCTTCTATCTTTATTGGGTTTGTTGAAACACTGTTTATAAAATATAAAGAAATTTTGCTGAGTCAGCGCCATTTTTGCCGTCACGAGAGCAAAAAAATTTTTTCTATGTATTTTTTTCTTTCACAAAACCTCTTTTTTAAAGCGTATGTATCCATTGATGCATACAAAGTGGTAACAAAATGGCTGGAACTGAGTTTTGGTATTTTCATTAGCCACCCCCACTTAAAAGATCAAGGATTTTGTTGGTACAAATTATTTTTGTGCATGTGGATGTAAGCAAAGTCAGTAAGAAGTATCAATTTTTTACACTTACACAAGCTTTTTCATCTATTTTCCTTATATAACAAAGATATAGAAGGGTATCATGTATGTTTAGGGCCCTAGGCCACTTGAAATGTAATACTGCAATATAGTGGACAAATCGGTGACATCCGTTACACAAATTCTGGGCTATATCTTCTGACTAAAAACAGACATTAACAAGCTGTTTTTTTGCAAAGTGTTCTTCAATTTCTTAGTTATAACCCTAACAAATTTGTCTGTGTCTTGTATTGCAAAATTCAGAGAGTTTTCAACATGTCTAAGGTGACCCAAAACTCTTTATCCAAATCCGTGATGTCCGTTACGCTGCAGTTATCTCAAAGATGTACATCTAAAAAAGCATTCTGTAGATAGCACCTTGTTGACAATTGGGGATGCTATACTGACACAATTTTTACAGCTCTGAACTGAAAATGCAACACAGCTGTGTTAAAAAATAGACCCCAAAAATGCTCTGAATGTGACGTCCGTTACGCTGGAATGGCCCAAATGACTATATTTTACCTCTTTTGTCTCTTTTTCTTTTCAGTCTGTGAATGATGAAGTGAAGACTTTGAAAGAGAAAGACAAAAAATCAGTTGGTGGGGAAGAGGTATGTTGTGAGCGTTGATCAGTAAGTTACTATGGGGTCGTTATAGAACCTTTCTAACAAGCATTATGGACAATTAAAGCCACGTATGTCTTTTTTTTATTTTTTTTTTTTAAACTTTGTGTTTATCTTTTCTTTGGTTGCTAAAATGACAGTATCTGAAACTTGGCTTTTTATAAAATGTCTTCAGTCTTCCTATTGCTTTTTTTTCTCAGCTGCTCAATGTAAAGAATGTATACACTCTCCTTGACCTGCTTATGTTATTTAATTTAATGAGTGTTTGGTTTGTAGGATCTGCTTATTGCTGTCTTTTCATCCTTGTTTAGTTTCCCTTTGTGTTTTTTTTTTTGGTGTTACTTTCCACTTTTCATTGTATTTGATATTAAGTGTATTTTTATTTTTGATTTAAACACTTATGTTTCAAAATCGTTGTCATATTTAGAGTGATTCTTGTTTCCCAGGCTTCTCAGTAACCATCTTAGCCAACCAAATGTTACAGTATTTTGTAATTTTATCGCTTTATGCTTTTTCTCAACCCATGAGGTGTGCTGATGATAGCTGTTCATAAGTTTGACCGTGGTAAAAAGTAAAGTTGTTCCTATATTCAATCCAGACATTTGGGATTGCTTTGTTAATGAGACAACTTCCTGGGCCCCCGGCATATTGTGGTAAGGTTGCCACGCTTTTCTTGTGTCCTGATTTTGGTGCCGATAATTGTGGGTGACGTAAAAATATGTTGAAATGGTGCAAATTGTTTTATTCCAAGAACAAAACAAGAAAAACAGATCAAGAAAAAGTGGAATTATTTAGTCGGTGATGATGATGATAATAAATTTCACATGTTTTTAGTAGTAAGAAATTTGTCACAATGATGAAAAATTCTGTTGATTTAGGTTTTGTGAGGTAAAAAATTTGATATTTCACTCTCCACTTCTAAGCTCTTAAAAAAAAAATCTTATATTTGAGGAAAGAAGAAAATTGTTACATTGAATATGACAGCGTTCAACTTTTTTTTATCACAAAGCTGGGGGTCACACTTTGCCACATGATGCTGGTCCTACTTTTGTATTGTCCCTCCACTCCATTGTTTCTGTGTAATGTTCTATTTTGCTTGTTTTCACATCTTGATGACCGTCTGTTTGTCAATACTTTTTTTATAACAGACTAGTACATCATGCTATTTTTAATGATTTGTTTGTTGTTGCAGGGGAAAGTTGTCACTCGAATCATGACTGTTGTGAAAAAAGAAGACCCTGCCAAGGAGAAAGGGGAACTCATGCTGAACAACATGGATGCATTGGAGGTTTGTAATTTGTTTCATGTTTTGTCTTCTTTTTAATATTTCTTGAGCCTAAACGTGTTTCACAAACCTTCTTTCGGTCATTGGTACATATTTCTGATTGAAAAGATGAGAGCACTTTAGTTTACGACTGAGAAAATTGATTTTACTTTGGTGTCTTTCATATAGCAGAATCAAATCAGTTCTCATACACTCTCACCTTAACTTTTTAACTTTTTCCGGACGTAGATATTTGGGGTCTAGACATAATTAACCTGTGGCTCGCTTTGGCTATGCAGGTGGTGTACAAAATTACTTCATAGAAGCATAACCATCTCTCCAAACGTAAAAATGGTATATCAAATTAAAGGGAATTGAATGAGGAATACATCCCAATATAAAACAAGGATTAATTTTGAACATAGGTATGCAATAGAAGGGTTAGAAATGGCGATGGTGACGAGAAAGATAAATTTTGACGGAAAAAATTACATTCACCAAACTTGTGAAAGCAAATCAGCATAGCTATCTTATCATATACAGGCCAAGAGCATAATCCATAAATTTCTGAATGCGCAGCTTTTTATTTGAAAGCAATTTACCAATTTTTTAAATTTATATTTATCTGAGTCTGGTTACATCGTTTTGTTGATGCAAGACCACAAGAACTAATTCACTCGTTTTTTCCCCAACCCACGCTTTGACAAAGTGAAACTAGATGTTTTCGTTTCCTAAATCCTTTCCGAGTTTTTCAATAGCAATAAAAAGTAATTATAAATGAAGGATCGTGTTAAAACGAAACAATACTGAAGCACCCTATCACAGCCGATATTTCGTCCGCAAGGGGTGTGGACTCGCACCGAGTACGCCCAGAAAAAGTTAAACCCCATCGGGTGCTTGGAGCGTCTGGCGGTAATACAACTCTATTCCCCATCAGACACTGGGAGGGTCCGATACTAGTAACAACTGTTTCGGTTCATTTGGTGCTAGTTTTTGCTTGTTTTTCTGAACTATTCCTGATCCAAGTTTTTTAATAATGACTAAGCCGTTGTTTCCGCCTTTTAAAAGTTGCAGGCAAGCTTTTGGGGTTATAATGTGACATACTGCACCAGGTATATGTGGCTGTAGAAAAAACTCTGGGAAACGGTGGCAAAAAACTCAGGGTTAAAAGAGTTAATTTTACAAACATAGAGCCTGCTTCTTTAGTGTCTGTCTCTTTAAACTTTGTTGAATTATCTGTGCCTTTGATTTGTGCCAAGTCTTTATTTCCCTGGGTGCGTGTGTATTTGGGGGAGGGGTGGTGCGTTTAAAAAAACTATCTGTCTTTTAAATCTCTTCTCCATAGTAATGCACCTGGTGCTGTATTATTTTATTATTTTTTTTACATTTCTCTTGCCGTGGCTTAATGTTAAAATGATGGACCTCTGCCACATGTACTGCTTGCATCTGTCATTTTGGTCTTGTATCACTCATTATCATTGTTATGGGGTTGGGTTTTTTAAGTTAATATGTGTTTGTTTGTTTTCATAATGGTACTAAATTATTAAAATTTAATACTTAAGGTTAGTGTATTACATGCGCGTGGGCTAAATTTTGACCTTTTTATTTCTGCTTTGAGCAATCAAGATACTGCTGTTATTTTATGTCTGTTGTCTACTTTGAGGATTTTAGAGTGTGGTGTTAATTTTATACAACTTTGTTATCTCTCAGTATTCATCTGAAGAAGAGGAAGAAGATCTGGATTCAACCATGGCGAATTATGCAAAGCGCAAAAAGGTAAAACTTGAATATCATAATGACCTAGCGCAATGTACTCAATAAAGATGCTAGAAAATATTCACACGTGTTGTTATTGAAGTTTCAGTAACATAAGGCTGTTGAGGTACACCATTTGGCTTCTATATGCCCTTCAGCCTTCAGTCTTGTCTTGTCTCACAATGCAGTTTTTGGTTAACAGATTCCTCTGCAGTGGGGACATCTGTTCCAGCCATATTGTATTCTTATGTTATAGCTTATAGAAAAGTGCCTTGTTAGCTGACTCTGTCATGGATTTCATTGTTCTGTCATTGTTTTTGTCATTTGTTAAGGATTTAATGCTTGAAGGATTTTTTTCTTCCTTTAGTCCTGTGTCGGGTTGTGTTATATCAAATGAAAATTACTATCTGTGTCTTGGGTTTTAAAGTTGAAAGAGTGTTCTAGTGCACCAACTACTTTGTATATTTAAAAAAAAGATTTTCAGGTTGAAAAATGAATCAAGTAAATTCGTAAAAGAATTTTAAAAATGTGATCATTTTCAATGCTCTCATTTTTTAAATAAGTCTAAAGATTTTTATATTTGTAGTTCTGTAATTGTGTGTGTGTGTGTGTGTATGGGGGGGTTCTGGTCCCATGTCCCTTTTTTTAAGTGCGATGTTGGTGATCTTATTTATATCAGACAATCAATTAAAGAAAATGTGAGTAGGTACAATGCTATTTCAAAATTATAATTGGTCTATAAGAGAATATTAGTAACCATGATTGAGTCAATTTGTTAGTGTTTGACTATTTGATTTATTAGTGTTTTTATTTTCCCTAACTTTTGTCACCTGTTCTAGCTCCACCAGGCTGTTCTTGAGGGTGGGACACATGTCCCCTGTAATGTGTTCTTCTTTCTCTTTCAGGATTTGAACTCCGTTGATCATGAGAAAATCTACTATGCTTCTTACCGCAAGTCCTTCTATGTCGAGGTGCCTGAAATTGGTCGCATGACTGCTGAAGGTAAACCTAATTACAAATGCTTTTGCCAGGGTTTGTGGTGTAGCGGTTAGGTGCTTTGCTGTCGCAAGCCGGAGACCCAAGTTCTATTCTCAATTGGGGAGGACATCTTACTACTAATGGAGCTAAGGCCAAATATTGCGAACAGTATATTCTCAAAAACTACAGAATGCAAAAATATGTAACTTTGCCTGTACCCATAATTTGAAACGTAGTGTTGCACTATTGTATTTTCATTAAGATCAAATGTGTAAGAAGAAAGCCCAGTTTAAGTTAAATTCAGTCCTTTTGTAGCGATCTCCATCATTTGCTTCGACATTGTAGATTCACTGCGGAGTGCCGTCTGCGCCGAGGGGTATTTTGTGTTCAGTTGTACATAAAGTAGGTTTTCGGGAATTCCCGGTTTCGGTCTCACGCCTTTGGGGGGAGGAGGAAGAGGAGGAGGTGTAGGTGTAGATGGAGGAGGAGGAGAAATGAAGAAGAAGAAGAAGAATGGGGAGGAGGAACAGGAGGAGGAGGAGGAGAAGAAGAAGGAAGAGGAAGAAGGAGGAGAGGAGGAGGAGGCAGAGAAGAAGAAAAAGAAGAAGAAGGAGGAGGAGCAGGAGGAATTAGAGGAGGAGGAGGGGGAGAACAAGAAGAAATAAGAAGGAGAAGAAGAATCAAATAGTAATACGTGTTACAAAGTGGTGACTTTTTCGTTTATTACCCTACCTTGGGAGAGGGGGGGGGGGAGAGAGAGAGAGAGAGAGAGAGGGGGGGGGGGGGGCAGAAAGCACTAACAGAGGAAGGGTGGTGAAAGTGACAGGGAGGGTGTCGTCGAAAGCGCAAAGAGTAGTCTAGCCTACCGTAGACCTACTTTATGTATCGAGATAAATAGAGATCAAGAAGAATCACGAAATGAAAGTAGAATCTAGATCTGTGATATTTCGATAACCTATGTGACGCCTGTCGGTTGTTAAAAATGTGAATTTCTAAACTTAGATCTATATATGGGCAAAGGCTCCTTCTTTCAATTATTGGCCTATGTCTATATCTTTATAATCCTTTGAGATCTAGGCTAGATCTAGAATCTAGATTAGGTTCTTCTAGGAAGCAACAATTGGCATGTAGGCCTAACTCTTTTTTAAAAAAGTGATTGAGCTGGAACTTTAGGAGAAAATGCCACGCCTTCGAAGAGGGAGAAGAAGTCTTACCCCTAGAGGTAGGCAAGAGGGGGTGCTACATGGATAAATTCAAGGTAAAATATTTGTGTTTTGTTTCTTTCCTGTTTTCAGTCTTTTCCCTCTTCTTAACTTTCCTAATAATTCTTCATTATTATTCCGTTCGTAGAACGGGTACTTTTATTACTAGTTTTTATAATTCTGCTGGGATGTTGTGTCCCTCTCAGGTCGGGTTAGCCCTGACAGGCAGGGTCGGAAGCCTGCTTCCTAATTGAACTAAATTGTGTTGAAGGGGGCGAAAGGAGCATAAAAACGCTTAATTTTAACTTTACAAATATTTATTATAAGGTATTTGGAGCAGGTATTGTTTATGGGTAGGTCCTTGGGATGTTGTTTTTTCCTTTTAGTGTTTTATCCCAGATTTGATTCTTCACAAGTTGCAAACCAAATCTCTCCTTTTTGTGTCATAGTTGAAAGACCCCCCGGGGCGGTACCACTGACTGAAGTGTCTTTAAGCCATTCCCAAAGGGGGGGGACATATCTCGTTCAAGCTTAGTAGAATTGTAAATGGGCTGATTCATCATGTCATGCTCATAACTGTGCCTGATCTGCCACAGGGAACTGCTGCTTTTTCTTTCCTAATCCTTACTATTGTCATTTCCTCTACTTCTTTTGTATGTTTGTCACTCTCTTGTGAACTGCTATTTCAGGGGTGCCTTGATAGTCGAAGCAGGCCTTGTGCTGTTGAAGCTAGAGAGGTGAGCAGAATAAGTCTGATTCCCTGTAAAGACTTCTCTGTTGACACCCACCCCTTGGCGCTCATATGACCTTATGCAGTTGCGAGGGCCGTAAAACCTCTACTAGAAAAAATAGTTGAAAGGCCACCCGGTATTGTGAGATTTTGTTTATGTTGTGCCATGATAATACCACTGATATAAGTGATATACTAAGCAGTGGATGCTGTGGTTGTGTACTGCTGTTATGCTTTGTTGAAACTGCGCATTCTACTTTTTTTTCCCCCTCTATGTTTTATTCAGTGGTATCAGTAGACCTGCATGTTTGCCGACAATCGTCTGAAATCCGACAATCGCGACCCGACCCGCAAACCGGCCGATGCTATCGCTAGGCCCGCCTGTATCAGTCAATGTGCGTAGTGCGAGGCCTGGCCGACTGCCAGCGACCCCTTTTTCTCCCGTCGGCTTCGTCGGCACTTTCGTTTTCGTGCCGACCGCTGACACGCGCACCGCCGACTGCCGACGTCGGCGTTTCCGACATAATTGTCGGAACCTAAGTAGAAATGCGAATACGAAAAAGGACGACAACCTAAATTATCTACTTTCAGTTTCGTGCTCGAGCGGCCATTTTGAATTTCGTTTATTGACTAATTCAATTGTTCAGATCGTGTGGATTCATTCAAGTCCGACTCTCTTGTTCTAATAGAATCTAGATCTAGATCTAGATTTATATAGATCATTATAGACCTCAATGGAGGATTCATATTCCAATTCTATTGTGTCAAAACCTATCATAGGTTGTGCTGTAATATTAATATTGGTAAAAATAAGCATTTCATCAGGTGCGTGAATTATTTATTTATTTAGATCTAGATTATATCTAGATCTCTAGATCTAGAATCTAGACTCAGCTGAGTCCCTCTGTTCGGAATCGGATGCGGATTTCTAGTTCAAGGCCTATTCCTATTCACTTGTTCTACAAGATCTAGATCTAGATCTAGATTTATTTAGATTACTAGACTAGATCTATATGGAGGATTCATATTCCAATTCTATTATTGTGTTATTGTATCAAACCCTATAGCAATGTAGATGTAAGCCATATAGATCTATGCTCCTTGTTTGTTTTGGAGTGTGTTTTTTTAATACAATTTTTTTTTTCATTCAGGACTTGTTTTGGCCTTTTTACATGAGGCCCGTTGCAGGTTCTTTTTGGGGGTAGGGTTAGGGTTAGGTCTCTTCTTTATTCTGTTTGTTGGGGTGGTCGCTCGTTATTTGGATGTCCTTCCTTATGACACCCACAAAGGCTTTTTTTTGGGGGGGGGGGTTGCGCAAAATTTTCAGACAATCTGGTTGAGGCTCACATGCAGGTCTATATCAGATCAAATGACAGTGTCCTCGTTCTCGTTGTTCATTCATTCATTCATTCATTCATTCATTCATTCAATCATTCTTTCATTCATTCATTCATTTATTCATTCGTGCCGTAAAATTCATACGAAATCTCATTCATTCATTCATTTGTTCTTTTTTTCATCCAGAGGTGGAAGGCCTGAGGAATGACCTTGAAGGCATCACTGTGAGAGGCAAACACTGCCCCAAGCCAATCAAGACCTGGGCGCACTGCGGGGTCAGTAAGAAGGTCATGGATGCTTTGAAAAGGCAAGTTTGAGAAACTGCTTTTTTTGTTTGTTTCGAGTCTTTTTGCTTTTGCATCATCATCCTTTCTTTTTCATACACCAAGTCTTTATAATATATTTTAAATAAAATGCGAGGCGGGAAAGAGGGAGTGGCTGTATTATACAGGTGGCCGTTAAAGCAGGCTTGACTGTATTCTATTCTTGTAATAAATCCGATGCCCTGTCATTTTGAGAGATTTTCTCATACAGAAGGCATCTACTTAAAGTACTTTTTTGGTCAAAGGACAAAAGCAAAGTGGGACTGTCACAGTAGTCTGTATTGACAATATGTCTTGGATTGGAACAACATGAGTTTATTGTTTTTAGATTTTGTGTGTATGCCTCTGTGAATACTAAGATGGTTAAGTGGAATGAATAAACTGGTCCCCACAATCCTTGAAAGCGATATTGTCTCAAGTGCCAAAATTATGAACTTTTAAAAAATAAAACAGAAATATGATTAACTCTTGTCCTGCGTCTGTGCTGAGATGCGAATCTTATCAGCAACCGATTACGTCGGACGTGCCGGACATGCCGCCGGGAAACATGTGTTTTCGCCGTGAATACATACCGTGGGAGTGTGTTAATCAATGATGAAAATAACGCTCTATCTTTCATAGCTTTCTATTTATAAAGTGTTACAAACACATGAATAACCCCCTCTCACAAGCTGATAAGACATTACGAGAAGTTATGCCCTTTCAAATAACCTTTCTGGAGGCTCTTGTTGTTATCAATGACCTGAGGTTCGAAAGGGGATGATATAGGTCAATTTCCGAATGTTTTGTTCTCAAATTGTTCTTTGTACCTGCACAATGGTATTCAAAACTATCAAACAAGCTTATTTTTTATCAGGTAGTATCATTCCATACAAAATCAAGCTCATTTGAAAGATTTTGTATAGAAAAATGGAAGTCTTGTTTCCTGACTATCCTTTCGAGCTCCTCATGTCTAAGTGGGTCAATTTCTTTTATAATTTCATTGGACGAACATCTAGAGCTACCAACTTGACGTGTTTTGAATGAGACGTATGCCTCGATTACGAACCAACGCAGGCGGTTCTATAAGAAGGCCACAAACGCACACAAACTCAAGAGACTGGCGCTCACACACTTGATCTGCGTGAATGGGGATCCGACCCGGGACCCGAATTTCACGTAAGATGATGCGCGTGCACTGAGCCAGGGGCTACACTGATCTGGGACCAGAACGAAGGCGAGGTGCTGAAATAGGCTTATCGGGCGACATAAACCCGTCCCCCGCAGGACAAGGGTTAAATATATTACTACACAATTGTGAACTATCACATAAAACAAGAACAAGAACTTAATGAGTAGTTGTATTACAAATCATAAATAGCCAACATTTTCAATTTTGATTTTTCTTGAAACAATGGAAATGGTACTTAAGACAGTTTGGTCTTCTTGGGTTGACCAAATGAGTTACAGGGAAGTCGTTGTAAGTGCTACCAGACTCTTTAACAGCCTTTTACTTTTCTGAGCTACAGAAACAACTATGAGAAGCCAACCCCCATCCAGTCCCAAGCCATTCCAGCCATAATGTCAGGGCGAGACGTGATTGGCATTGCCAAGACCGGCAGTGGAAAGACGCTGGCCTTTGTCCTTCCTATGATTCGGCACATCATGGATCAGCCGCCGCTTGAAGAAGGGGATGGACCTATCGGTAAGTTGGTAGGGAGGAGATTTTGTTTTTGTAAGAGTTCAGCACCCTACTAGACATCATTTTGTTATTCTGCAGATGGAGGTCTTGACGAGGGGGGAAGGGGGGAAGAACTAGAAGGAAGTATAAAAGAAGGCAGAAATTGTGTACACCGACGTAGATTTTACTCCTGTACCTTGAGCAGAGCTGTTTATCCGTTATTCTACCTTTTGAGTTTGTGGGTTGTGGTATATTGTGAAGAGAAATGATTAGTCTAACAGCATGCGTTAATCTGATAAAGAAGTTATTATGAATATGAATAAGTTCCTGTGCTGAGTAGGTTCAGGGATGTACCAGACCTGACAAGAACTGCGATATAATAAATGTTGGGGGGGGGGGGGGGGTTGTTTTTGTTTGGGTTTTCTTATTCCACATGAAAGAATTCTAATTGGAGTTGCACAAAATTCTCTTGAATTCCATTTTTAACTTATCATAATTGACAAGAAAATACACGTTTTGATTTGCCTTTATTTGCATGTACTTGTAATATAATAACACACCTTTCTTTCCCCACAATCTGTTCATTATGTAATCAGAATTTATTGGGGTTCTAGTGACGTTTCCCCCCCAAACTTTGATTTTAAGGGAGGATACTGAGGAAAACTGTTTTTTGTCATGGAGTGGTTGGTAGGTATATCACCTCCTCTCTTGATTGTCTTGATCCTCCAGAATTTTTTTGGGTTACAAACTGTCGGTTCAAAGTTCTCTGGTTTTTTTTGTTTTTTTAATATATTCACATCAGAGGTACTTCAATATTGTGGAGTGACTATTTCATTCTGAACACCAATATTCAACAATGGGGGGGGGGGGGGGGGGGGGGGGGGCATGTTACTAAATTACATTAACTTTGGATATTTTTGTCTCTGTGTGAGCTTATTAAAGGATGCTTTCTTGGGTTTTTCAGCCATCTTGATGATTCCAACCAGAGAACTGGCATTGCAGATTTCAACTGAGTGCAAGAAGTTCACTAAACCTCACGGTCTCAAAGTGGTCTGTGTCTATGGAGGAACTGGCATCTCGGAGCAAATTGCAGAGTTGAAAAGGGGCTGCGAGGTTATTGTGTGCACACCTGGGCGCATGATTGACATGTTGACGGCTAACAATGGTGAGCAATAATTTTTATGGTGAAAATTAAAGTGAACTCTGCATGTACTGAATGTTTTGCTCAGAAATCTTAAAGAAACTCAGGCCTCTGCCTCAGTTTATTTGTGGGGTTATTTTGTGCTTCATTGTGGTACGGCTCTAATTAGCCTTGCTTTCACTAAGTATTAGTCTGGTTATGACTAGCAACTGCGTACACTTTGGCTCACTCACTTAAATGTATGCTTGCTCTTTTGCACTCTTGTAAAGACATGTTTGCACATGAGCACTTAAATGGGAGAGAAATGTAACCGTTAGAAGATTTTTGCTAATTGTGATTTATCAGAGAACTTCAGCTGTATTCCTTTGTTTACTAATGCATGCATACCTTGTGTTTGTTTTTATTTTAGGAAGGGTGACCAACTTGCGGCGTGTTACCTACATTGTTTTGGATGAGGCAGACAGAATGTTTGACATGGGTTTTGAACCTCAGGTGAGTTTGATTTTGCTTTCTTATTCTTGTCATACTGTCAGAGCTCATGGAGGAACTGACTGTAAGGTCTTCAACTTACGGTGCAGTCGATTGTTTGTACATGATCGTTTTGTTTACTTAGAACGGAGAATCATGTCTTGCCTGACAGGCAGCCATTTGCGGTTTTTCAAAAGTAATCTGAAATATTTATACTGACTAGAGTGTCTTCAGTTTTTGGAAGGTGCTACTTTTGAATTTTTCCCAGTTGGTGGCCTGAAGGGCGTACTCTTTTCCATTTTAAAACAGCCACAGGATCTTAAATGTGCAAAACTTCCACTCAGGACCTCCAACATTTTTCATCCTCATCTGAAAAAGACTAGTACCTATCTAACCTAAGATCAGAGAGTGAAGAAAAAAATTACAAAAAAAAACCCCCTGACACTGGTGGGGGTTTGGACTCTAGACCTTAGAAATTGGAGTTAACAGGCAACCGTCTAGGCTGTTGAGCCCCTTAATTTGGCTTTTTACATGTTTGTTTTGTCATTTTACCTATGAGAAATCAGAGATTTATCTTTTTCTTTTTTTTTTTTCAAGTAGGATGAATGTGTTCAAAACTCATTAAAGTTTCTGTTTGGATATTTAAAATACAAGGTGTCTGCTTACGGTCATCTATACACAAAAAGTTTATTACAACTATTGGTTTATGCAACAGTTCTCTTTAAATAAATCTTTATGCTTACATTTGTGATAAAACTATAATAAAATTACTGTAGTCTGAGAATACAGTTTGTCTTTTTTCGACTTTTATTTAAGGGTGTATGAGAGCCCTGTGTACTTATTTTAAAAAGTCATCCACGGCATGCTTATTCTCACAGTGTTATGTCAATTTAGCTCAATCCAGATATTATGGGGCTTTCTTGGTCGAGAGGTTACGGTGTTCACCTCTCATTCAATATTTTTCGGATTGGAATCCGAATAGCGACAGGAAAATTTTCTTCTAAAAAATGTTCTCCTTTCCTGCTCTCCAACAATGTTCTGTCGTATGTTTTCGTCTCCAATTTCTGCCCCAACACCCACATCTCCTTTGGCCCCTCCTCTGGGCTCCTGATTCTTTCTGCAGCCTTTCTACTACTACTCCTTGGCTCCTTGTTACTGCTGTCTTTCAGCCAAACCCCTGATCTTATGGTTGGTAAGATGTAACACCTTGCCTTCTCTGATAAGAGCGAAAAATCTCGGAGGTCCCATGTGCATGTTGCAAACGTTAAAGATCCCTTGGTGGTCCTGAATTGATAAGAGTAGGCTTCGGCTGCCACCCGCGCAAATTAAAAATCTCCTTCCAACTGAAAAATGTTTCATGTGTACTGCTCTCATATGACCTTATGTAGTTGTGAGCACCATTAAACACTTGCCCCAAAAAACACAATAAAAAACTGATATTGAAAAGGGAAATAATTTTCTCAGCATAAACTCTGATCCTTATAATTAGGAAAGAAAGGGAAACTTGTACCCTTTACTTCTTAAATCTAGTGAGAAAAAAATAATTTTTTTGTTTCCAGGTAATGAAAATCATTGACAATGTGCGACCAGATCGACAGACAGTTATGTTTTCTGCCACTTTCCCTCGCCAAATGGAAGCCTTAGCTAGACGAATTCTCCAGAAACCCATTGAAGTGCAAGTGGGAGGGAGGAGTGTCGTCTGTAAGGACGTCTCACAGCATGTGGTAAGTTTTACGACTTGAGAGCCGGTCTTATGACTTTTCAAAATGAGGCTTTCATTGCTGAAACTTACCCTTTTTATATTGACCTGAGAATTTATATCTGTAGTTTAACGTGGCATTCGTCAAGGATATTTTTGACAAGTTGCAATAATTTTTCCTTTTTCTTTGTCATCACTTATTATGAATTGATCTTAGATTTTTTCCCCACTTGAATGTTTTCCACTGTGGAATCATGTATCTGACTTTTTTTTTTTTTTACTCTTTTCCTACCAGGCCAACATCCACCACTGGCTCAGGGCTTTTCCCTGACCTATTTTTAAAGGAAAATGTCAAAACATCCAATTAAACACACACAAACCATATCATATGGCCCATCAAACTGAAGGTTAAAAAATAATCTGTCAGATGGTGATACAATATTGAAGAATTATTCCAATTATATTAGGTTTGGGGTTTCTAAAAGTGATTATGCAATATTGAAGGTGTCATATGAAATCAACAATTTTACAGCTTTGAGAGGTCATATCTAAAAAAAAAAGTACAACAACAGCATCAATCAAACTTCCCAGGTAGGTTGCCTCAAGTAATGCAAAGAAATACTGAAAGTTATGTGTGTGTACCTAATATAGAAGTGAAAATATGAGACATATACTGAAGTCAGGGGAGTGCTTTTTTTCTCTTTTGTACGTTTCGAAGGGGACAAAAAAAAAATCCCTGAAATGACTTAAAATCGTCTCTCAGTGCTATGTTTTCTTTCGTATCTGCTAACCGGAAGTCTGTTCTATTATTTTGAAAACGGGGACCGGCCGAGAATTACGTGTCTTTTCATTACTGGATTGGAATAGTTAGCGAGCCACTCGAGCCGTATTTTTTGGCTCTCGGTCTAACAAGGCCACATCCGCGATGCGGCTCGCAGTAGGGAAAGTCACTTAACATAATATGTTTAGATAATTTTTTCACAAGATAGATGCATATAAAGTGGTATATTATAATCACATAGCTCATTCTAAATACACAGGATGTTTATTTTTTAACTTAACTCTTTTGACCTAATTAAGATAGAGATGTTCCAGAAGTACTGTGCGTCTTGTAGCGGAGCTGTCTCTGCTGTTTCAGTGTTAGCTGTGTGGGCACTGCTGTACTTACTAATCTGTATTACCACTTACTTTTGGATTTCTGTTAAAAGCGTTTACTATCCAACTTTCTCTGCTACATATCAAAATGTAATAATAAAAAGATGCATATTTTAAGCGCTAATTAGTAAAATGAATACACCATTGTCTATTGAGTTATAGTAGAGTAAAATTTCTGTCTGCAGGTATGAAAGCTCTTCTGCACTGACTTTGTACTTTTGCCTCACAGATTATCCTGGAAGAGGACAACAAGTTTTTCAAGCTGTTGGAGCTGCTGGGCTTGTACTCTGAGCAAGGGAGCGTCCTCGTCTTTGTGGACAAACAGGAGCACGCCGACGACTTGATGAAGGACCTTCTGAAACACGCCTACACCTGCTTGTCCTTACATGGAGGCATTGACCAGTACGACAGAGACAGCATCATTAACGACTTCAAGACAGGAGTCATTAAACTACTGGTAGGTGGCGGACATGTTTTTTTCAGTCCTGCAGCCCTGTAGATTCCGATTGCTGTTTCCACGTCCTTGCAAAGACGTGTTATTAACATATTAAAAAATTGTGTACCTTGTAAACATGTTTGAAACAGTGTCATTCACGACTTTAAGTTGGGAATTATTAAAGTGCTGATTTATTACAGACTTGAGAATTTTCAGCCCCATAGTTCCTTAAATTTCTCTTGCTACTGTTGCATTCTTATAGAGATGTGTTTTTTAACTTTATATGGTCGATCATTCATTGTAAACTGCAACTCGTCAGAATGTATGATATAAATGGTAGGTTCTTGTTCTTTTTGCCTCTGTCTTCTCCATCTTAACTTCTCCCAACAAGTGTTCTTTTTTTGTGTGTGTATTTGTCCTTTTACTTGTATTCTGCGCTCATGAACGAAAAGAGTGTATACCCCCCGGGGCAGTGCCACTGACTGTAGTGTCTTTAGGCCATTCCCAAAGGGGGGGGACATTTCTCGTTCATGTCACGCTCATAACTGTGCCTGATTTACAACAGGGAACTGCTGCTTTTTCTTTCTTAATCCTTACTGTTGTCATTTTCCTGTACCGGTACTTCTTTTATATGTTTGTCACTCTCTTGTGACTTGCTATTTCCGGGGTGCGCAGAGAGGTGAGCAGAATAAGTCTGATTCCCTGTAAAGTCTTCTCTCTTGACACCCACCCCTTAGCGCTCATATGACCTTATGCAGTTGCGAGCGCCGCAAAACCCTCTACTATATTAAAAAAAAAAGAGTGTATGGTTTAAATGTGTTCTTTTTTTAATCTCTTCTCCTTTCTTCCAGGTGGCAACGTCGGTAGCTGCTCGTGGCCTTGATGTGAAGCAGCTCATCCTAGTGGTCAATTACAATTGCCCAAATCATTACGAAGACTATGTGCACAGATGTGGGTGAGTGACCTGTAAATTGAATTAGTAACAGAAAAAGACAGATAGGTATACAAAATTGTAAAAATCCACCAAGAAATAAACATCTGATGTATTTTCAATGAGCGACATGTTTGTGGCACATATCATTACATATATCTACGCTGTGAATAAAGTGTCCACAGGGACTTAAGACTATGGACTAATGAAGACACTGTTGTTGACTGTCTGTTATGAAACGGGGAGATTTTTTAAACTGCCCTTTCGAACAATACTTGTTTAAACGCTTATCAGGACTGAAATCGGATAAAGAAAACGTTCCCTCTTGCAATTTACAAAAGTGTGTTTTTGTGAACAGAAACAAATGACTTGTCTTTATGTCCAAGGCTGCAGTAAAGTTCTTTCTTGTGGTTGCGTGTGTCTACAGCGTTTTCGTGGCACTTACGTGATGATGTCAGGATTTTGTCTTGTACTGATCATCGCACGTGTAAGACATGAATGGTCAGTAAGGAAATGAAAATTTTGTATGGGTAAACAAGGTTCATGGTGGAACAGTCAACCTTGTAAGAAAAGAATATACAAAGTCAGTGCGAGTTGTCATTTCATTTTCTTCACTTGGTTTAATGTTCTCTCCTTGCTGAATTTGGGAGAGTGTAAAATGAAATATGACTATTATGGTGTGGCTTAATTCGTCCTCACAAATCTGTCTTTCGTTGTCGACAAGGAAGGGTTTACACATCTGAACAATTAATGTCAAATATACAAAAGAGATAACGAATAAACAAAGGTATTCAAACTACTGTCAAACTTGCTCTAACGACCGCCTAAGACAAGCCATCTGAACAATTAATGACCACTTACCACGTACCCCCTGGCGTTTTTTCTATATTATAACGACACCGTCCAAAAGGACTGCCAGTCTAAGATGACCACTTTTCTCCCTGACAGGATGGTGGTTGTCTTGGCCAGGTTTAACTCTATTATATATTATAATTATACCTTATTTCTGGTTGCCAGAGTACAGGAATCGCCAGTGGGTGGTTGTTGGGTGCTCTATTTTCGTTTGCTCCTTTTCTCCTGTCAAACATCTGTTGCCCTTATCTCTCCTCCTTTTCTTTGATATATTGCGCTCTAGTAACACCTCTGATCTTCAGCAATAACGTTCTGACCTATTTGTGTTGCAAGTGCTGTAAAACTCACAAAAATAAAGCTGAAAACATCTACTTGTGTGCTTTTCCTCAGACGGACTGGGCGTGCTGGAAACAAGGGGTTTGCGTACACTTTCCTAACATCAGAACAAGGTCGTTATGCAAACGACATCATCAAAGCCCTGGAGCTGTCCGGCTCTCCTGTGCCCCCTGATCTGACAGCTCTGTTTGAGACATACAAAGAGGAAGCTAAAGCTGTGAGTGAGCTCTGTTTTTGTTTATAGAGTACCATATCATTGGCAAGCTGTTCATATGTACTGAGCCCAGAACGTAAAATTTGTTAGGAGAAAGGAAAAAACGTTTAAATTCCTTTAACAATTGTCCCTACATTGTATATTTTTTACTTGCTTTTTTTTTCCTTCAGAATTTGAAGTTTGACAAAATATTTATTTAGCCAATGTAACTGATACAACAATTGAACAAACTGCAATTTAAAGAACTTGCAATATTTTGGGTTTACCACATTTTAACAGCGGACCAATGATATATACTTATTTATAATTGGAGCGAGCGATTTTTTAAAATATTGACTTCCCAAAGTATACCCCCAGTTTTGTGTTTTATGCACAACGTACGGCCAGGATTTGTCCCCCAAAAATTGGAAATAATACAGAATAGGATTTTCCATGGTGATTGCAGCGCTTCATAGTGTCTTGTTAGATCACTTGCCACTCCAGTATCACAGTTTAAATCAATTTCAATGCAACAACCAAGAGTTCTTGAAAGTAAGATCTTATATTTGATGCCCAACAATTACTTGATTTAATACATGTTGAACCCCCTCCGATGTAACAGGAATTCACCCCTTGTTATGCAGTTGACCAACTAAAATGGGCTGATTTTGAGTCAAAGGATACCCCTTGTATTATACATGAGGTCATGTCTTAGGCGAGTGTATTATATAACTGTTTGTTGTTGTTGTCGATCCATTGGCAAGTATATAAAGTGGTATTTTTATAGTTTTGTCATGGTCTCTGTCTCAATCTTGTACTGTACGTTATTTACCTTCTGTCAGTTTTGTTAATGTTGATGGTGTGGGTGGTTGGACGGCCCCTCTGGCAGATCTTTCTTCTTGTTTTCCCTCTGTTGTTTTTGTCTGTGCGTCTTTCTTTCATCCAGCCCCAGGTGAACATCATCATGTCGATGTGTTTGTTTGTGGTCGAACTCAAACTATTTGTAATTGGGAGAGCAGCAAATTTCAAACAGTTTGGATCATTTGTGGATGGTTGGCGGGTGCCCTGGTGTGGTTTGCTTCTTTTTTCCTATCAAACGTCTTTCGTCTCTTTCTCCCCTGCTTCTTTTTTGTGTTTGTTACTCTCTTGTAACACCTCTAATCTTCGGCACATATATGACCTTATTGTGCTGTAAGTGCTGTAAAACACATACTAAAGGATAGTTTTGTATTTATATTATTGAACAATATGCTCTAAGTAAAAATAGATCATTCGAACTTGAAGAAGCACCTTAATTTTTTTATATTGCTTGCAGATGGGATCACAGTTTGAAGTGATAAATAGTACAACTTTGTTTATTGCTTTGATGAAGAAATATTGTTGTCATCACTATTTGGAAGCTCAAATTGTATGTGAAATTACAACTTGTAGAAATGGCTACAAATGAGGTGAGAAAGGTATTCTGAAGGATTTGGTATGTCATTTTATTCTTTTTTTTATAGTATTGATTTCGTTTCTCTTGTCCTTTGAAAAATTTTTCCTAGTTTCTATAAATATTAGGGCAAGTGTCAACCAAATGCGGCTTTGATTTGGTTTTCAGAACTGTATTCACGAAATAACGATAAAATATGCTGATGTGTACCGACTTAATGTTAATGGTCTTTGTGCTTTAAACAATCTTTTATCAGGCGGGCAGAACAGTCAAAAGCTCCAGTGGATTTCATGGAAAGGGATTCAAATTTGACGAGACAGAAGCTCAACTTGCTGATGATCGGAAGAAGCTACAGAAGGCCGCGCTGGGCCTGCACGACTCTGACGACGAGGACAGTGGTGTAGTCTCTGTGAGTTGCTGGGATATTTATTAAAATACAGTCCGCCTAAACGGAATACATTAAAGCCCACGAATCTCGAACACGAAAATCTCAAATTCTTTGGTATCTCGAACGTAATGCCTGGTCCAATTTCAGTCCCTATGTTTTCTTTGTATTAACTTTACTAAGTTCCCGAACACACAACACTGGCAACCTCGAACAAATCCACTTCGCATTCTCAACTAAAGACCGGGCTTTACAGCCTTTCTGGCCACTGGTAGGTGTTTCTTTGTTATTGTTACAGCCAAAACGTGGTCCTTGTCTCACAACGAGAGGCTGGAGGAAGGGGGGGTTGGGGAGTTATGCTGACCGCACCGCACATCTGGCTCACCACACGTTCAATCATGTTGTGGGACGCGCGCAGTGCAGATGGCAAGAGGCGTAACTTTCTGTATGCCAATGAAATGAGAGGAAAGTAATGACGTAGGAGTCGGCTGTGCACGTGTGTGATTTTTTGCTTTCCACTTTTCATTCATCTTCTTGCTTTCACTCCGTCTACATGTTTATCAAGGGAGCTAACCGTGTTAATTTTTAAAATGTTTTTTTAACCTCGCTTGATTTTCTCTATTTCTTTGTATTTGGGGCTTGCGTGGACTTGACAAATTTGGTAAATCTTGAAAACAATTTCCAATCCTAAACGAATTCTAGTTACCCATTTTGACTGAACGATTAATCTGAAAACAGCAGTAAATTGAAAGAAAACACGCACACACACACGATTTAAAAAAAAAAATTCAATCCGTTTGAGCTACCTCTCTAAACTGAAATTTTGTCTGAACCGAAGGAAATCCAGCAGTCCTGCAGATTTCAGTTTAACCAGAAGACTCCACTGTATTGTTTTTTCCTCCTAATTCTGTTTTACAGACTACAGAGGAATCCATTTATTTATGACATTTTGTTAATTGTCTAATCTTCATAGCTACCAATTTCCCGCTAAATAGTGGAAACTCCGCTTCATCCTACTTTTCCTGCTACTTTCTTCCTTCCTCCGCTGGACCGCTCTAGGTCGCAAATTGCGATACTTTTTTTTTAGACGCGGAAAACACCGAACTGGGAGAGAGACAAAAACGCAGCTTGCGGATGTCCGCCCGAAGCTTTCTACTTCGGTTCTTCTGTGCCAAGCGCTAGTTTCACATTGTTTATTGTGGAGCAACAGTGAGTTGTCATTGAAAACGGCAGAAATTCGAGAGAAATTGATGCAGAATGCAAAAATAAAAGGAGCTGGAATGAAAAAGAAGCAGCCGGTGTGCGACTTGAAAAGTTTTTTAGCTCTTTGCGTTTGGTGCGATTCGTGGCACTCACAAATGCGGTCCCGTTTGTTTACAAGGCGGCTATTGTGGCTGTGGAAGTGAATCTAGATCTAGATAGCCTAGGCTATAATTTTAATTCAGTTTAGATCTAAATAAGAAACACACTACGTCTACAGGGGCACTAAGTGCAAACAGGACAGCAATTTTACAGGAGTGCCGAAATCGCTCTGTACATCGGCAAAGGTGTTGCCTCCTTGATCCAATACTGCTCTACATTGATGTACAAGTTTAAAGTGAAAGAAATCTTTTTATGAGGCACCAGCTGGCAACAATCACTGGATTTTTAGTCACCAAACTACCGTGTCAAATGCTTGTTAGTCAACTTAGTGCCTTGTTGTTGTCTTTTTCAAATACATTTTAATTCAGTAGCCTATGGTTAACAAATATGACAGTTTTCCCTTCCAAAACCATAAGGCAAGATGTTTCAATATATTTCCTCTGGATCTCACTGGTTTCACTCCAGCCTTCGGAGAACGTGCGTTCGCCTGCGCGTGAATTTCCTCTTTTTTTGAAATTCCTGAGTGGCGGCTATGAACCCAATGGGACTAGGCACTATCATTCACTATGTATGCAGATTACTGTCATTGAAATAAATGTTCTTGATAGTCCTTAAATTTCTAATAAGATATTTGAAGAGGTATGTATAGGATCTGATGATTTTTTTCCCCTCTGTTTGTCAAGCTTTCCAGGCTAAAAACAAACAAACTTTTAACTCCGGCTATTTTGATGACTTTCTGAAAATACCATAATTTGACATGTTCCTCAGTGATGAAAATAAGAGATATATTATATGAATGTTCACCTCTGCCCTGTTATATTATCCAAAGAGAATAATTTTTTCTGTCTAATAATATTCACCAAAATGAATGATTACTTCTGTCTCGTTAGACAATGAACAATTGCCACTGTCCAACACATGTACCACTAGACTGACCATAATTTATGACTCTCTTTCTTCTACTTTGATTGACCCAAATTGACCATAGGTCTAATATGTGAGTGCCTCTGTCCCTTCAGATTGACCAAAAGATTGAGGACATGTTTGCAAGCCGTAAGCGTGTGACTGACGTAGCTAAGCCCATGGTCAACCAGCAGGCCGCCCCTACTGCAGTGCCGCTGATTCCCGGCCTGGGCAACAGTAGTAACACCAATCAGCACAAGTTGGAGCTGGCTCGGAAGCTGGCCGCGCGCATCAACTACCAGAAGAACCTGGGCCCTGAAGCGCAGGACATCAGCCAGCAGGCGGCCATCGCCATTATGAAGGGAGAGTCTGTGGTCGTGCCGCAAGTAGCCGTGAGTGGTTTTGATTTCTCTTGGTGTTTTTGTTGTTGTGTTTGTGATCACTCTTGTGTTTTTGTTGTGTTTGTGATCACTCTTGTGTTTTTGTTGTTGTGTTTGTGATCACTCTTGTGTTTTTGTTGCCATTGTGTTTGTGATCTCTCGCTTGTGTTTTTGCTGTCGATATTGGTGTTTTTTATGGGCCTCAGCGGTTGACAGGTGTAATTCCTAATTTCCTAATGCTGTTTTTATAAACATTTTCTTTCTAGTTAAAAAAAATTCTAGTTTAAAGATATACAGTTGAACCTGCTGTAATGACCACCTGTGTACGACAATCACTTGTGCAAATCGTCCCTCTAAACACGTCCTACACAGCGCCGAATCAGCGGTCGTTTAGTTTCGCCAGGCCGTACGCTGCTAGGTCAGCGTGACCGGGGTCAGCTGCCGGTCAGTCTACCTGCGCTCACTCCACGCGCAGAGTTACAAACCACGGCAATTTTGCACACTTTTGTTTCAACGCTCACGAATGAAAGCAGGGTTATCAATATACACATAGTGTTCCATCTTTGAGTTTCTTCTTTCAATGTGCAGTTTGTGAAAACGCAACGAAGATTTCTAGTATAGTTTTTTAACTGCATGAGATCAAATACAGCCGTTTCATATGTGGTAATTAAGGAAATATGCACCGAATTAAAAGCTATGTAACTACCAAAGTGCGGGAATAAACTCACTAAAACTCGCTTAGAATAAAGACAATTAATGTGGGTATCTACTTACCAAAGGACATCGTTGTTGGAAGATTAGTAATCCACATTTTTGCATTTTCGTTCAACAGCCAAATTCGTGGGGCTTGTGATGAAATTCTCATTACAGTATCCTTCATTAAATTAATGACACAGATCTCTTTACACATTTTGTACAGTAGATCTATACGCATATCTATGGCGCCGTGGTTGTTTTCTCGGTGCCTGCAGTGAAGATGCTCTCTGGAGCAAATTAATATGCGTTCATAACGTATCGAAGTTTTTTCGTATTGTTTACGATGCCTTGAACCCACTTTTCAAGTTTTAAAATAGACTGGTGACAGCTTTCGGTTTCTTTTCTCCCAGCGGGCCCAAGCCAAAGCCGTGTTGTGTTAAGGATGAAATGCAGTGTTGTTCTAAATTGCGCTGTTTGGGGATTTTCTTTGTTGGAAAATGTCTTCTGTACAGCTTTATGTACGTGACTATTGCTGTCTGAATTCCTGGAATAGAGGTTTTCGGAATAGGTGCACTGCGTGAGATGTCATTATGAATTTGACTGTATGCTTGGTTGAGAGAGTCGAAAATCAAACCTATAGAGTGCGCTTTGTCAACAATGATTGGATGATAAAATATCCCTTGGCAGTGACTCATATGTCCTAGCCTTTCTTATCAGCCTCTGTTGTACTTTAGTCACGTTCTTACACCCGCAAACGCAACAAAGTTCATTCAGGAAGGAGGAACGTCTCCCGTGTGTGTGTTCCATAGGGCGATTTCAGTAAACCTGTTAGAAATTAATCACGGGCAAATGGATTCTACCTCATATCGTAACACGGCTCAATCAACAAAGATGAATTGTATACACATTAAGCACAAATATGTCTGCCTTTCATAGAAACAACAATCTATGAAATTAACAGAGAAGTGTTGAACTTAAAACAGCATAGAATCCAGAATACGCAATTGCACGGGTCAATTAACAAGGCACTGGATGAGAATCAGATGTAAACGACTTAATATTGCAAGAACTATCCTTCATACAATGATGAAAATTATACACGTACAGCACAAATATGTCATCAGTGCATGTACCAAAATTTGTTGAGATTGAGCGAGCACTTTGGAAATTAAAAGTGAATTAAGTGCAGCGCACACATATTGATAAATTCGATGAAATTCAGAACATTTTGCACACACTGTAACATCGGCACATATCGTCGCATTGAGATCGGGTTTTCGCAGTTAGAGAGGGGGAATCTTGCTCTTTTCTTATTGTATGGAATAATTCGTTGTTAGAGTGAGGATGCTGCCGATAATTAGTGTCAAAAGTGTCAATTACGCCATGATCTGCCCGCCTGTAGCTGATGCGCAACGGAGCGGCCAGTGACCCCCGCGTAACCCGCCACGGAGCGGTTCCGGCGGTGATTTAATGACTTCCAGATGTCGCTGGCCTGGGAAACTAAGAGGCACGATTTCTGACTTTTTCCGCTGCTTCCATTTTACCGCTGTGAGCGGCTCAACGAAATCCGAAACAAATGTGCACTTTTTAACATAGTTCCTACTTTTTAAGTTGTCGAAAGGAAGTAGAACTTGTAAACAAACCAGACCTCAATCTCTGAGCGCCAATATTGATCTAAACTGTGTGAAATTCTTGCAAAAATCGTTGTTTTGTTGTCGCTAAGTAGGCTAGATCTAAGGGTAAATAACACGGAGCCTGCTATAATAAAAAGGCCCTTCAAAGAAAGATATGCAACTAAATTTGTGAAATTCTAGCATAAATGTGTGCTAGGGTGATATCGTTACAATTGTGTGTTGATTCCTATGGATTATAGGATTGTAGAGCTGAGAAAATGCGGTTCGAAATTCTCGAAGAGCTGTTGCACAATTATTTTTTTCTCATTCGTTTTTGTCTGAAGGAAAATGCAATACAAACAGATTATAGGTAATTGTTATTGATATAAACAGATTCCTCTATTGATTCCCATCAGTTTGACATGACAATACATATTACAGTAACTTAGAGCTTCACAGTAATGCATTAAATAGATGCACCCCAGGTCCTATACTGAACAGGGAAAAATAATTCTGTCCAGAGTCTGAAAAATCATGGATGGAATCAGTTAAAAATCATATACAGTTGGCGCCTTCATATTCTGAGTTGCTGTTAACATTATCATTTGTCACGGACAATACAGCCCGTGAATTTAAACCCTATTGATCTTTCTTTGCATTTTTATTGTTATTTGGAAGTTACCATTTAGGCGTAAGCCACGCAATGAACATATATATAGTATAATATACGCTTTAGATACAAAAGCACGTACTAACGTATCCAACAATCTAGTAACGTAAGCCACACATGGAGGCTTTCATTGACGTAGCACGTTGTAGCGTATCCGACAAAAAGGTCATTTTTCCTTCAAAAACCTACTATTCTCACAAAGATGCTTCTAGCCAATTGGAAAGTAGTTGTCCCACACACGTTATGTCAAAATATTAAGGGCAGGGTCGGATATTTGACACCACAATGGGATGGTGAAAATTTAAAAAATTGCCCAAATCTTTAAATGTCTCTCCTGCAAAACTAACAAAATGTGGCTTACGCTAGTTCGTGTTTTGAGGGACGAAATGTCCTTAGAACTCATTTTCTTCTTTGAACATGCTTTACATTACAATGACACTGTGTAAGACTTTTCACTTTTCTTTTTAAAATTTTAGTTAATAAATGTGATTTTAAAGCACAGTGCTTCTTTGTTGTCTCGTAGCATCTAAAAGCTCACACGCCCTCCAACAATTCCATTGGCTGGTCTGTATTTTTGGAATACCATTCGGATCCTGTAGAGGACATGAAGCTTATGCAGTCTGTTAGTCGCCTGTTATCATTCACATTCTCTGTCTCTGCCCATTGCCAAGTCACTCATTTTCAGCTAGGTGAAATGAGGTGTACCGGTATAGGATAAAGTGTGTTTTTTAAGGATACAACATCTAACCAGCAGAGCAAGGAATGGAACCCACAACTTTTCTTGGGTTACTCTGGTCTAGTGACCTTCACAGCATTTTTTAAAGTTGCTACTGTTCCTGTCTGTCTAGCAACCCTGTTGCTTGTGCTTCCTGACGTACAGAGCTTTGGAAAAGGTGATTTTTGCCACTATTTCTGGTAGTGACTTTAAACATATAATTTCACTGGATGGCAAGGAATAGGCCTACAGTCAAACTTGCTCTAACAACCACTTCCCTTTTCTTCCCTTGCAATTTGCTATAATATCATAATCAGACTGTCCAAGATAACCACTTTTCTCCTCAACAGTGGGTGGTCGTCATTTACAAGTTTGACTACATCTGTTGAGAATGCTTGGCAGTTTTTCATGGCAATGACAGTAATTAATGCTCTTTGAATGCGGGTGGTTTGAGGTTGCCACTGGAAGGTTTTCTCCTTTTCTGTCCCTCTGTTGTTTCAGTCTGTCTATCTCTTGCTTTTCTCCGTACACTAAATGTCTGTGATCCAGGAGTGATCCTGTTAATGTGCTTCTCTTTACTCTTTTTGAACTCTCCGACCACTAGATTTTGGACACATTTTCGGGGGGGGGGGGGGGGGGGATTTTGAGTGGTCAACACAGCCTATGTAAACCACTGTTCCAGGCACAGGATGTAGCCTATACTGTATAGGAATATAAAGTCATGTCATACGTCAAATCAAAGTTATTGCATGCATAAGCTGAAGCCAAAATATTGCATTATTCCATGTTCAAAGTAAAGAATTTATTAAAAAAAAATTTTTTTTTGCTTGCAGTCCAAGACTATAGCAGAACAGCTTGCAGAGAAGCTGAACGCTCGCTTGGGTTACCGGCCGCACTCGGAGGAGGAGCAGATCATGGAGCAGAACTCTGGTGGGGAGACCTTCAAGCGGTACGAAGAGGAGCTGGACATCAACGACTTCCCACAGACAGCTCGCTGGAAAGTCACCTCCAGGGTAATTACACGACTGGTTGATCCGGTGCTTCAAAGTCCAACGGCTGCTCAGTCAGCGTAGGACTCCATCATTGGTCACTTTTCAAAATGGCTTATGGCGGAGTCTTACACAAAGTGGTGGAGCCTTTCCGGCTTTCATTATTGATTGTTCACAATTGAGTTCTTCTGTGTGCTATTTTTTTTAGTGCCCTCAAAACGACAGTGTTTAGAGATTGGGCTTTGAAAAAATCCATATATATTTCAAGTGTATTTAGAAATGTCATAGTGAGTGGTTGGCGGGTTCTCTGGTGTGGTTTGCTTCTTTTCTATCAAACATCTATCGTCTTTATCTCCCCTCCTTTTTTCTGTTTGTTACTCTCTTGTAACACCTTTAATCTTAGGCACTTATATGACCTTATTGTGTTGCAAGTGCCGTAAAATACTCACTAAAACTAAAGAAATGTCATAATTATTTTCTGTTTTAATGAACTTTAGATAACTGTTTCAATGTGCAGAATAAGGATTACAGTGTTGATTTCTGCAAATAGTAACAAGTACCGTATAACACTTGATTTGTACCAAATTATACAAATATTCCAAGCTCAAAGAGCATTATACAGTCAACTGGCTCTTATGGCCACCAGTAAAATAATTACTTGTACAAATTTGCCACTTCTCCTTTCCTCTTGTGCATATTTTTTTTACATTATGATGACACTGTGTAAGATGTCCACTTTTCTCTTTGACAAAGAGTGGCCGTCTTGGACAATTTTAACTGCATTTGTTTTTTGGTTTGTTTGTTGTTTTTATATATATATATTTTTGGGGGGTTTAAATTTTATATTGTTACTTATATATATATATATATATCTTTTGTTTGTTTCAGGAGGCTCTGGCCACAATATCGGAGTTCTCTGAGGCGGGCATCACTGTGAGAGGCTCGTACTACCCACAAGGCAAAGAGCCCAAGGAAGGGGACCGGAAGTTGTACCTGGCTATCGAGGCCACCAACGAACTGGCCATCAGCAAGGCCAAGGCTGAAATCATCCGCCTGATTAAGGAGGAACTTATCCGACTGGTGAGTAGAGCAGTTCTTATTGGGTTGCAGCAAGGCCTATTTTGCTGGGGGGGGGTTGTCAATGTGTACACCGAAACTGGTTTGGGGGGGGGGGGGGGGGTTGTTTGCTTTTTTTTAAACAGAATCTCCAGCTATTGTTAAAAGGTGGTCTGTGCCTTGATTCAGACCCATACACTAAATTACATGAGACAGATGTATGGCTTGACGTTTTGATTTCGTTGCGTGAACAACACCAGTCTAGATCTAGCCCTAAAACTACGACTCGCGCCGTGTTCGGGTACATCTCCAGGGTCCTAACTATCAGACACGTCATATTCTGAGACACTAGAACTAGTACAGTGTTACTACAACGCGACTGTCGGATTACTATCATCAGCTGTATAGAAGAAAAAAAACAGCGCGAGTTCCGGTCAGTTCAACCCCAGTTGGGGTCACTGTCCTTCGCCTTCAATAACTTAAAAACTAGCAGCCCCAGATATACGAAACTAAGTCTAAGTAGCCCAGGCCTGGCCAAACAAGGCACGAGGCGGGTCACGCGATCCGTGTGTGATTTGTAGAGCGAAAAAAAATTCCGAAGTTGATCACGCAGGGCTTGTGGGAACCGTCGCGAGCGGCGCGGCGGGGGTCACGCAACTGTTGTGTCAATTGTCTGAAATGAGTTAATAATTACAAAGGAGTCCACTTAACTGAAAAATCTATGGGACCGTCTGATTTTCTTCAGTTTAATTGGGTTTTCAGTTTTAGAGCCAGAGAGGTTTCTAAAGTTGAAGACAAAAAAATTTGGATTTTATTTTCTTTCAGTTAACCACTGTTTTCTGATCAACTGTGTTCAGTTTACTGGGAATTTAGTTACAGTTACAGTTAAAAAGAGCTTTGCGATGAATCTTTCCCTAACTTTCCTCAAGTTCTCACAGTACACCTTTTTTTTCTCTCTTTTCAGCAAAATTCATACCAACCAATCAACCGAGGCCGCTACAAAGTGTTGTAGTCTTTGGTGCGGTTTGCAGAAGCAGTGCTTGAGACGATGCCTGGAAAATGTCTTGTCTTGTGTTGAAACAACATGCATGTTCTGTGCGACTGAGTGGTTAGCAAGTGCAAGTCTTGAGAATGTCGAGAAGAGAATATGTAATATAGAATTTGTTGTTTTGTAATGCATGACTGTGACTAGTTTTACTGCATTTCATGTATCTATAGTTTCGGAAGAAAGAAATTGTGGCGAGGTTCGAATGTGTGAATTCATGCCTTCTTATGTCTGAACTTCTGTGGATAAGAAGGTGTAAAAGTTTGAAAGCCTGAATTCATACCTTCTGATGTATGGCTGGATCATATGAAAAAATATGGCTTGTTACACAATGTGTCACTTTTTTTTTTCAACTTGAAAAAAGGATAGTTTGTGTGCATTGCTCAAGGTCATCCATGCTACCGCCTATTTGAACGTGACGTGGCAGCACTGGCATTGCTTGGGGCGCCCTGTTACTCTAGTTGGTATCTTGCGGGACTAAAGAGCGGATGGCCCTGGTTCAATCTTTCACTCAGAGTTTTTCAGAGTCCCACCTGTAAATAACCTTGTAGTGTTGACTTACAGGGGGTGCCCACATACGCGGTCGGGTCGCTTTCTTGTGGTTTCAGTGCACACTACAACCCCGCTGCGATTGTACCCGACGACCAGAAAGTTAAAGTAGAGAAACCTTTAACTTGTAACTACACAGAGGGTGTAAACTGGGCTACGACTGGCTGAACCTTTGACCCATGAATACTCAAAATAGGCCCACGATAGGCTACTCTTGCACTTCCCGCACTCTCTCTCTCTGTCTCTCTCTCTCTCTCTGTGTGCGTGAGTGCTTACTTTAGTGTCTCTCTCCTTCCTTGTCTAATTCTCACTTCCCATATCAGAGACTAGATCTAGCAATGTTGTCTAATTTTCACTTCCCATATCAGAGACCTAGATCTCTAGATCTAGCAATGTAAACATTGCTAGATCTAGGTCTGCATATATCTCTCAACTTATTTCTCTCCCTCCCTGTCACTCTCTCTCACCACCCTCCCTCTGTAGTGCTCCTCCTTCTTCGTCTTCTTCCTCTAGACCTATGAGCGCTCCAAACCCGCTGTGAGAAGTGAGAAGACGGTCAAAGGCGTGAGACCGAAACCGGGAATTCTCAGAGTACCTACTTAATGTATTCATGGGTCAAAATGGACATGTGATTGTCTTGTTGTGATTGGCTGCAAACCACCCGATCCCGCGATTCGCTGGCCAGAAAACAAATGCATTTGTTTTTGTAGGTCACCGATCGTGTCGATCGGTTTGTGCCACGATGGCCGCTTTGCGCCCTCAATTTGGCTAGCCCTGACTACCCGATGAACCCGACCTGGCGGTGTATGTGGGCACCCCCTATTACAGCACTTGTATTGTAACACAATTAGGTCATATAAGTGCCGAAGATTACAAAAAAATAACATAATAAAAAGAATCATATACACAAAAAAGGAGAGATAAGGACAAAATATGCTTAATAATAGGAAAGAAGAAGCAAACTACAGGAGAGCATCCACCAGGGGAACTTGTCTATGACTCGTACTATGACAAGTCTGGTTCTGAAACTAATATATATTGCCTCCCTGTTCCTGTAAGTTTAAGATGAAAAAAAAAATTGATGAGAATCTTAAGAAATTACTCATTTTGGTGTCTTTCATGGATCACACACACACACACACACACACACACACACACACACAAACATATATATGTGTGAGGTGGCATGGTGAAATAAGGCGCTCATCAAAATAATGAAAATGCATTTTTCTGCTCTTTTGGCAATTTTTATTGAAGTTTTGTTTTTGGCTGAACATCTTTAATGCCCATACACTCATCTCTGAGTGAACTTATTGAAAAGTTAATCATGAGTACAAAAAAATGCCAATTTGCGTTTTCCAGGGACACTATAGATTTGGAAGTCACCAAAGTTTGGCGGCCATTTTCTTGCTAGCTTTACATCTAAAACTAAAACCAGTTGACCCGACCCTCCTTCACGATAGATGAGTATTTTTTTTTCATCAAACACAAAGCAAATGAACAGGCTTTAACTCATTCGCTAAGCCGTGGGGGGCGGCGCAGCTAAAGTGCCGTCAGCACGCTAAGCCGGCGGCTCGACAACCGATCTTCAATTTTAGCTTCGATTCTACTCCAATCAACATATCCATGTTAAAATAAACGTCATAATATAATGTTGACTTCCCGGTCAAGCATTTCCACTGAAAATCGGAAATTTAGATTCAATTTTGAAACCCGATTTCGTAGTTTATTCGACTTTTGTTTTATCGCGATGCCAAAATTATAGCCCGGACACCAGTCTTAGTAATTTTACACAACAAAACCTATCATTATTTTGCCCACTAAAGAAATGTAGGACTTTTTTATAATATTGATACGAATGGACTCATATTTCCGATGCAGTTATTGAGAAATCAATATTTTTGAGTGCTAGATCTAAGTCTAGATCTAAATTGTCAAAATATTTTTTTCTCCCCAAAATCACTACTTTTTGATGAAATTACACAAAAAGTGCCACTCAAGACATGTATAGGTTTATTCCAAATGCAATTCTGAATAATTCCACATAAGATACGAGTGGGTTTTTTTCTGTTTGTGATCGTTTTTCAAGATTATAAAAATGCATTCTTTTTTTTCAATATCTGATGTTATGATCCAAATATACAAATATTATGGAATGTATGTAAATAACTGCAAACTTTTCAATATTTTCCAGTTCTATATTCATTTATGGTTATTTTGATGTATCATTTGACTAGGTGCAAACATATTTTTTTGGGTTTCACCAAAGATTATTAATTTTTTATTTTCAAATTTTATCCGCATCCAATCAAAATTGTTGCATAATCGCCTCTTACAGGAGCCGAAGTAGAAAAATACATAAATAAACATTACAGATGTATTCTACAAACTATACTGAAAATATTGGTATAAAATACGTTGATATTTATTTGAATTTGAGGCCCCAAAGACCTTTAAAACTGCCCACTAGTCATCATCTCATTCGCCTTGCTGAAAAAAATTCATCCACAAGCCGAAAATAATGCGTAGCGAATGAGTTAAACATTTTACCCAAAACTCCAAATGCCCAAAAATTGACGGGTACAGATTCCACCATGTCGTAACGCATACAGTCGACTACGGAAAAGTTGATGTCATTGGATTGGCAGGGTGAAAAAAGATCAACTCGTCTGAAGTTGGGACCTGTAAAGAAGAAGATGTGCTAGGACCCTAGAAAAAGATCCAACTCAAACCAGTTCAACATAGAGTCCACTATAGCGTACTATACATACTCATACTCATATACACTGATACCCACTTTCCACGGAGAACCAAATTAAAATGAGAAAACAGTTATTAATCAATGAAAACTTCTGCTTTTATACACATTCTCATACAAAAAGAGAACAATTTCACACAAAAACAAAACTCTTTAGAATCTATACAACAAATCTCTTACATCAAAATCAATAAAATACATGACATATTAATTTTCAAGTAACTTCCATCCTTCCAAACCTGTCAGATTTGAAACATATCAGTTAATTAAAAATATTTAATACTAATACATGCCATTGGTTCATCAAACATAATGGATAAATTATGTTATAAAATTGATAAATAATAAACAAAAGGCATCAATTTCAAGTCAACAGTTGGTTGAAGACATATGATACATACATTGGTTATTCAATGGTTGGTCAAAAAACAAAGTTCCATAGTCAAATAGTGTTATGAAAAATATGCTATAGAGTAATATAATTGTAAGAAAGAATAAGCACACACTAAGCTCTCATTCATTAATGCCTACAACTTCACATTTGTAACGGTCCAAATGCTGAAGGGGTGTGTGTGTGTGTGGAGGGGG